CATCTGGGGCACTGGCCGCCTGCGCTGGAGCTGCTCCAGGTGGGGAGGCCAGTGGTGTAGGAATGCCCTGTTGATGCTGCTTGCTCCTTTTGTTCAGGGCTGAAATGGGCTTGGGTGATGTGTTCAGGTACATGCTGCGGCGAACTTGCAGGTAGGCCAGAGTACATGGATAGAGCCCTACCCACACTATGGAGGTGGAGGGGGCCGTAAACAATGGCATTCACAGGCGTCTCCAACCACCGATCATCCTGGCAGTCCCCAGAGCGCTCACACAGCACCCCCCCCACACACACACACACCAGCCTTCTCTGTTACAGGCGCTCTCATTTGTTGTACAGAAAGTGGTCTTTAGGGAGAAGTGACCTCTATTTCGGCTTTATGTGCCACATAGTTTTGGGAAGCTGGTTGGAGCCCAGCGCCTGAGGTGCTGGCTTGCTGGGCTGGAGTGGCTCCCAGCCTTTTGGAGGTGAAAGGTTCTGGGCAGTGTAGCTGGGAATGCTGCTGTGGTCTTGCAGGCAAGCTAAGCACCAGAACAGAGCTCCTGCCTGCCCTGTGGAGGTGGAGGGGGACACAGACAGTCGCGCCACCAGCTCCTCTGGCGCATAACGTTCGCACAGCTCCCGGAGGTTCCGTGCCTTTCCCAGCCTTCTCCATTCTGTCTTTTTTCTCGTTTGTGGTTCAGAAGCTGCTCACTCAGCTCTCAGTTGTCTCACAGGAGTATCTGTTTCTCTATATTCGTGTATATTTGAGTTTGCTCATGGGAGGGGGCAAATTCGGCATCCTCGTATGCCACTGCCATCTTTGACTTCTTTTATTTCTAGTTCTTTAAGGTGTAATGCTAGATTATTTATTTGAGACAGTTCTTGTTTATTGACATAGGCCTGTAATGATATAAACTTCCCCCGTTGTACTGCTTTTGCTGCATTTTAAGATGTCGTATTTTCATTTGCATGTGTCTCTATGTATCTTTCAATTTCTTATTTCTTCTTTGACCCAATAGTTGTTTAGTAGCATGTTGGTTAACCTTCATATATTTGTATTTTTTCCCAGATTTCTTGTAGTTAATTTTGTTTCATATGGTTGCGGTTGGAAAATATGCTTGGTATGATTTCAGTCTTCTTAAATTTATTGAGACGAATTTTGTGCCCTAACATATGGTCTGTCCTTGAGAATGTTCCATATGCCCTTTAAAAAGAATGTGCATGCTCTCGTTCTGGGATAGAAAGTTCTACAAATATCGACTAAGTTCATTTGATGTAATGTGTCATTTAAGGCCAATATTTCCATATTGACTTTCTGCCTGGATGATCTATTCATTGCTGTCAGTGGGGTACTCAGGTCTTCTACTATAATTGTATTTTTTTTTTTCAGTTTCTCCCTTTAGGTCTGTTAGTCATCGCTTTATATATTTGGTGCTTTCAGGGTGGGTGTGTATATATTTTAATGAGTGTTATGTGTTCTCGATGAGTCGCCCCCTTTGTCATTATAAAATGTCCATCTTTGCGTCTTGCTACCTTTATCTTGAAATCTATTTTGTCTGATATAAGTACTGCTACACTCGCTTTTCTCTGGATGCCATTTGTTTGGAGTATCATTTTCCACCCCTTCACTTTGAACCCCTGTGTGTCTTTGTAGCTGAGAAGAGTCTCCTGCAGGCAACATATAGTTGGGTCTTGTTTTTTAATCCATCCTGCTACTCTGTGTCTTTTGATTGGTAAGTTCAGTCCATTTATATTTAGAGTGATTATTGATATATGAGGACTTACTAGTTATTTTATCTTTTGTTTTCTTGTTGCTCTGTATCTCCATTGTTTCTTTTCCCTTGTGATTCTGTCTGCTATTTTAGTTTGGTGGTTTATGATTATATTTTTTTTCTCCGTTTCCTTTTTTTCGTTTTGTTTTGTTTGTGTCTCAGCTCTGGATTTTTGTTTTGTCGTTACCATTAGGTTTGTGTAAAATGTCTCACACATACAATAGTCCTTTTTCTTCTGATTGCCTCTTCATTCACCCTTACTGGTTCAGTCCTTTTCCTCCTCCCTTTTTGATTTTGTTGTCACAAATCATCCCTCTTTATGTTGCATATTCGTTACTAAATTGCAGTAGTTATAACTATTTTAATGCCCTTTTCTCCCGTTTAACCTTTATGTTATAATTAAGTGTTTAATATTATAACCTGTTCTGAAGTAGATTTGCAGTTTACTGTTTCTGTCAGTTAATCATCTTACTCCAAGTTTCATATTTTTGTGTTTTGTTCCCAGTAAAAGCTCATTTCAACATTTCCAGTAATGCAGGTCTTGCCGTGGTAATTTCTCTCAGCTTTTGTTGGCCTGGGAAAGCCTTTATTTCTCCCTCATATCTAAAATATAACTTTGTGGATATATTATCCTCTGCTGATGGCTCCTCTCTTTCAATATTTTGAATATTTTCCTTTTATTCTCTTCTGTATTGTAATGTTTCTATTGAGAAATCTGATGATGATAATCTAATGGGGTTTCCTTTGTAGGTTATAGTCTTTTTGTTCCCTGGCTGCCTTGAGAATTCTTTCTTTGTCATTAATTTATGACAGTTTGACTAAAGTGTGTCTTGGAGAAGGTCCTTTTGCATTAATATACTATGTGTTTTGTTAGCTTCTTAAGTCTGTTTCTTTCCTTAGGCTTGGAAAGTTTTCATCAATTATTTCTTTAAGTAGGCTCTCTGTTCCTTTCTCCCTCCCTTCTTTTTCTGGGATACCTATTATCCTTAGGTCACTCTTTCAACTGTAGTCAGATAGTTCTCATAGAGTTCTTTAATTTTTAATTTTTTTTTTAACTCTTAGTTCTCTTTCTTCTCCCCACTGGGTCATTTCTTTGAGTTCGCAAATTCTCTCTTCCATCTGGTCTGCTCTGTTTCTAATGCTCTCTGATACATTTATCATCTCATGTATTGAGTTATTCAGCTCCAGAATTTGTTTGGTACCTTTTTATACCAGGGGTGCCAAAAAAATGTATACATGTGACTTGTGTTCATCTTTTGTTATTGGTATATATTGAGTATTACAATTTTAATACAGTTTTTTCTTTTCTTAAAATGTGTATACGTTTTTTGGCACCCTCTGTAGTTTCAATTTCTTTGGTAAAGTACTTCTTTTGTTCATTAATTTTTTTATCCCTGAGCTCATTGAACTGCCTTTCTGAGTTTTCTTGTAAATTATTGAGTTTCTTTAAAACTGCAACCTTGAGTTCTCTGTCATTTGAATCACAGTCTTCCATGACTTCGAGTTTGGTTTCTGGAGATTTCATTTTCTTTCTGTCCTCCCAAGGTACCTAGGTTGTTCATGGTATTTGATGGATTGTTTTTCCGTGTGTGCATTTGAGGTAGTAGCGATCTCTTGTTTAGATACTATTTTACTCAACAATTCAGCAGGCTAGTAGGCAGGGTACTTTCTTTGTTTTCCCATAGGTGGTATTATAGAACAAGTTTTTGTTTTCTCTTACCTGCACTGTTTGCTCCACCTCCACCTCTGGGATCATGGTGGGGTGGCGTTGCTTGGATTAAGGAAAACGCCACATACTCACTGGCATGGTGGGTGTCCCCTCTGGGACCAACTTGCCTTGTTTATGGGGCACCACTACTGTGGTAGGAGAATGTGGTGGGTGGTGGAGAACTGATTTTGTGAGCTCCCTTAGCTACCTCCTTTTCCTACTGTGTTTTTGGCTTTACCGGGCTCTGCTGGGGCACATGGGGCAGAGAAGGCAAGTTTGTGATCTCATGGCTTCGCCTCCCCCACTCCACCCCCACCCTCCCAGCACCTCACAGTAATGGCTGACAGCAACAGCTGTGTTGTTTAAAGCTTCCCAGGTACCTCTACCCAGCTCTGCCACTATGGGGAGAGGAAGGAGGTGCCTTTTCCGGGAAGGAAACTGCTTCTGCTCCCCTTACACTCCAGATCGCAGTGTGAGGGCTGCACCCCAACTGCGTCACCCCTGCCATGCTCCCTGGAGCCAGGATGGGGACCAAACTGCGTCTGCGGCCACCGTCCCTGTTCTTCCTTCTGCCCATCCTGTCTCCCCTCCTTGCTCCGGTACTCCCACCTTCAGATGTCCCATACACGGATCTTTTAGGCCTGTTGTGTGTTGAGCAGGGGATCCTTTGTTAGATTAGAATTGTCTGACTTAGAAACTTAAGGGGAGAAACACTGGCGTCTTCTCACTCTGCCACGATCCTCACGTCATCTCTCTCCTTTCGCTTTGTAAAAACCTATTGCTGTCTGTTAGGTAACATTTATGAAGCCTAGTTTCAGTTTCATTGTACACTCGAAACATATTAAAATAGGGTTTCATGAGATATATCTGATAATTCAAATTTTTTCCACGTTCGTTTGGCTTTGGGAAGTATTTTTCTAGATACTTAGCATTCGATGTCACATTATAATGGTGACACAGTCTTCATACAGAGGAAAGAAGCAAAATACTTTTTTTTTAACTAAAAATATGTATTTCCCTCTATACTTGATTTTCCTGAAATAGTAGAGCCTGTGTGACGATGACCTTCTGTCTCTGCTTTCCAGGTACTATGTCATCATGGTAACCATGTTCTTCACTGTCAGCGTGGTCAACAACTACGCCTTGAATCTCAACATCGCCATGCCCCTGCACATGATATTCAGATCCGTGAGTGCTGCCGGTTCACACGATATGTTCCTCTGAAAATGCAGCCAAGGGGGTAGATTGCGCACAAGCCGTGAAAGACCTTGTAATAAGTAATACTTAGGGTATCAGAACATGTCTCATGGATGAGTGAGCAGAGGCTGGCTTTCACCTGAAAAGTAAGGCCAAAAGAGAGAAATGTGAACAGAGATGGTTTACTTTTTTTTATCTCAGGTCTTATGGATGATTAATAAAAGGGAAGTTAAAATTTTCCTGGGAAATAGATTTTACCTTTCATTTCCTTCATCTGGTTGATTTTATTGTCAGATGTGCTATGACTTATTTAACTTATTTCTCATCACCTTTTGTTTCTTTCATAAAATTACATTTACTTCTAGTACATGAAACAGATATAATTATCTGGTTTTTTGTTTTGTTTTGTTTTCTTAAGCAGAGACTTGAGATAGTTAAAGGGAGATTCTTGACGAAGGTAGGTTTCTCCCAAAGCAGTAGAGGTTATTTTCTTTGCCTCAAGTATAGTGAGAGATCTGTGTTTAGTTTGTATATAAATAAGAACGTTTTCCCCTGAAGAGCAGGGAAGACTTCAAGGAGATTTTAGTAAGGATTGCAGAAGAATACAACATGGGCAATTATTGGAATTACTACATTTCTGTGTGGTCTGAAATTTTGTGAGATCGAATGTGCTATTCCTAAAAGAACTTTCCAGAGCTAATTATAATTACTAAGATGACCTTCAAAGATGACCTTCGAAGCATTGAGCACATAGTAGACTTTCAGTAAGAACTTGATGATTGATCCAACACCCTTTCAGAGAAGAAAGAAGTCCCTGCACAAACTTTTTCTTTAAAACTAAGTGTGAGAAGAAGCTTATTAAAAGCTCTTATAGATAAGATAGATGGAAAATTTGACAAAAATAAGTCTATAATTTTTTCCCACTAGCCCTAGCTTCAGCTATGATCACTTACTGAGTTGATCGGTTTATTTTCATTGTCATCTTTAAAACGTTTTATTATTTTATAATAAAAGTTAAATTTTTTATGGTTTATACTTTTTGCCATCCCTAGAACACCTGAACTTTACTAATTTTTCATCCTAACATCCTTTCCAGCTGTTTTCCCCCCTTATTCATGTTCATATTTATCTTGAATTATGTTATTGTCTTTTCCTGGTGGACTAAAACTTCCTCTTGTCTCCTTTTACAGGGCTCTCTAATTGCCAACATGGTCCTAGGAATTATAATTTTGAAGAAAAGGTAAACAATACACGTTTATAATTTATATATAGGAAGCATATCCTGAGTCCCTCGTAGTGGAGATAGTTTGCACTTGGCTTCTACTTTGTTTCTGAGTTCTCTCTGTGACAGTGATGTATGTTCCTGACGCAGCTGACCAGGTAAGAGATCCCACCTGTGGCTTTGGCTCAGCAGTTTCTCTGCGTGTAATAGAGTTAGCTCTTGTTATCATTGACTCCTTAGAACCATACTAACCTATGAAGCCAGGGGAGTTAGAACTTCACTGTCCCTCAGGGTCACCACTAGTCCCGTGTGACTGTTTACATTGAAATTATTGTAAGTATTTAGTTTCTCAGTCACATTTTATGGGCTCAGTAGGCACACGTGGCTAGTGGTGACATCTTAGAGAACCCAGATACGGAGCATTTCCAACTGTACAGTTCTGTGCGACGGTGCTGTCATAGTAGGTACTTATCAGCACAAAGTAAGGAACGAAGGAATAATCATATTTATTACAGCGACAATTCCTGGTTTTTTTTGTTTTTGTTTTTTTTTTTAGCTGAGCCATCCTGCTACCTGTTGGTAGCTCATCGGCTGCTCAGCTCGGGCTGGACTCGAACCGCTGTTGCTCAGAGCTCAAACTCTTGAGCAAGCTCTTAACCAACTGAGCCACTCGGCCTGCCCAACAGCGACAATTCCTAACAGAGGCCCAAATGGTTGAGAAGATGGAATGAAAAGTTTCAGGCTTATTCTTTGCACCTGTCACCAGTGGATCTCTGTGGGATAAGGGTGGAAAACATCAAAAGTACCTGGGATGCTTTTTAAAAGTATTTGTCTCCCACCTTCATTCTGAGCCTCCCCTCTCACTCCCAAGGAGGAAGGGCATTGAGGAGAGACAGCACAAACAGTCTGGAACATTCCTCGGGGAAGTTCACCTTTACTATCAAGACCAAAATTGTACAAGTTGATGCCAACTTCGCAATGTATTTAATATCCAGCCCCATTATTACAACAGAACTCTGTACTAACTTGGAAAGTAACTATCAGTTCAGAGTGTGGGAACCTAGTTTGGAAGTACTAAGGGCTGTGTCATAATAAAGGACAATTGTCCTGTCTTCCTAGGCTTCGTATCATGAACGCGTTATCCCCCAAGACTTATGTATTCTCCAGTTAAGCACCACTGTAGCTGACTTATCTCCTAGGGTCTCTGCATTTAAGCACATATACATAATGGGCAGTTTGGTTATGTTGAAGTAGCCACTGTGCATCTTAGTGGTGTGAAATTCACCTTGGGACACACCTGTGGTCCTTCCAGCCTTTGATTTTGGCTCATAACAGGGATACAAAACAACATATTATAAAAAGAATGTATTGTTTCTCCAACATTTCAGTATTCCTTAAGAACTTGTTTTGGGTCTGTCAGCTTGAATCTATCATTCTCAGCTTTTCTGACTGTCAGTGTATATCAGTCACCCAGAGAGCAGGAATTTCCCTAAGTTAACGATTTACTATCGTGGATGAGTAACTGCTGTTAACCTGAAAAATGAGAGGCAACAAGCATTTACTTGAGATAAAAAAATAAATAAGAATGGCTATCTGGGAAGCACTGATTTGGGCAGAAACCCAAATAGTGTTCTGATTAGGAGACAAAGGCAGGGGGTATTTATGAGAAAGGGAAGGGGATCAGTAACATCAGTAGAAGGAAGACATTTCTATTGGTGCAGATAAGCTAACCTAGTGACACTAATTCTAAACCATGTTTTTAATTATCAGTCCAGTACTTATCAGTTCGGTATTCATAATATTTGATTTCTTGTTATCTTTGCAAACAGTTCTTGGAGGCACAATGTGGCTTGAGGCCCAGTCCACAGGTTACTCTGCCCTGTTTTAACCTTCCAAAGGTTTGAGGCATAAGTTGTGCAAGGCAGTTCCTCTAGGGTGGCAGCTCTGTCTCCATTTTAATGTGCTCTGTTTATTACTGTTTTACACTCATTACCTCCCTTTACTTACCCTGGGTAGAAGCCCCTCGGGTTCATAGCGTGTTCCTCATTGCAGGATTTGAAGACCACATCTATATTTGCCTGACCCATGCTGTTCATTATTTTTCAGGCTTGAATTATAAACCTATTTTGATCTTTCCAGACTGAAGCGTTTCCTTAGTTTTATAGCCGCCTCCAGCAGTGCCTTCCCTTCCCTCGCCCACCCCTCTTCTCCAACAGCACTCTTGGCCCTTCGCTCTGCTTCTGAGCCAGTTCTGTTGGCCTTTTTAGGAGATGCCATGACCAGAACTATACAAAGTATTTGAGCATAAACCTCGGATGGTTCATCCTGTGGGTTTAATTTCTTTTCACTCTTGCCGGAGGCCATTTGCTTCATCACCAAGAATCTGAGAGGGATGTGAATGATACTATTTTAGTTAATGTGAGATGCCACTGTTATTACTGCCTCCAGTCCTATTAGTTTAATATTCCTCCCTTTATCCAACTACGCCAACGTGAAGAAGCAACACTGAAGTCATTCAGAGTTTAACAAAAAATCCTCCCCTGAAAATGAACGATTGAATTCTTAGTTCTGAGTATTGAATCCTGCTCCTTGGACCTGATAGCCTGCTCTCCCAGTTGTGTGTGTGTCTTTACACTCAGGTTTGGGCTCCCTGAAGACAGGAAAAGCCTTAGATACCAGTGAGGATCTGAGTCAGGCTTTCATTGGGACTCTTGAGAGCAGAATAGAAGGTTATGTCTGTCTCTCTTTTTTTTTTTTTCTGATGCAACAATCTATCACTTCACAAACTATCAGAAAGTATTTAAACACCACCAAGAAAGGGTGCCATGGAGCACCCTGCGGCCCCCTGATTCTATCACACACAGACGTACATGGACTTGGCTGGGAAATGACCCTGTCAATTGTATTTTGGTGACTTGTACTCTTGTGCATCCTCGGACGGTAAACGTCACGTGGAAATCAGTGTCTGTGCTTTCCTAAGGCGGTCTTGTTCTTATTCTTGCAGATACAGTGTATTCAAGTACACTTCCATCGCCCTGGTGTCTGTGGGGATATTTATTTGCACGTTCATGTCTGCAAAGCAGGTGGTAAGAATCGGTTCACAAATCATTTATATTTGCGCATTGCCGTGGGGACCCGGGTACTCATTAATGAGACGGTAAGTTAAATGCTTTTGTAACACAAGGATTCAGATCTCAGAAAAAGAAGAGTGGCGGGAAATGGGTAATAAATATTCCCATTGTATCCGGGCCCCTCGCGTGTAGTTCTGGCTTCTATACCTAGTATTTTTTCTTATTTCCTAGACTTCCCAGTCGAGCTTGAGTGAGGATGATGGATTCCAGGCATTTGCATGGTGGTTACTAGGCAAGTACGGTAATTACAATAAAGATAATTGCCTTTGCAATTCTGTTTGCTGAGTTTTCTCCTAAGGGACATGTTTCTTGGCAAGAAGCTCCGGCTAAACAAATGATGCCACGGAAGAGAGAGGCACCTGGGATCACGTATCTCTAAATTTTAGCATTCAAGAAAATGTCCAGGACGTGGTTGTGCGTTCTGTAACATGGGTCCATGTTTTTCTTGGTTGCCATGGACATGCCTGCTTGGCCCTGCACGCTCTCTGGGAGCCGTGCTTAGAGTGTCATTCATTTCTTCATGATCGGTCTGCCGAGTGGAGGCTTCTTCAAAACAAGGGCACGCTGCAGCTACTGACTCTCTGCATTTCCAAGGGACCCATTTCTAAACCCTAGATTTCTTTTCTTTAGACGTGAGCTACTCCATGTGGCAGCGTTCCCAAACCTGACTGATCAGCAGACTCTCCTGGGTGATTTTTTAAAAAATACAAATATCTTTTTGTGAAATTAATGAGCCAGCTCCCGTAATGCTTGGCCCTCAGATTGTGTGGTTATGGAGGGGAGACTTTTCCCCGCATCCAGTGGTGGCCATAACTGATTGAGACTGAGCAAGTGAAAGAGAACTAGTGGAAGAACCCGGGTTTCCTTGCTTCTTGGCTTTGAAACTCTATCCCTTTAGATTGTTATTCTTTTTTGTTTAGATTTTTTTATTGGGGAATTGGGGGGATGGGAACAGTGCTGGGGAATTGGGGGAAGGGGAACAGACAAGTTGCTGTCCTTTTGTTCTTCAGTCTAGTTGTGGAGGACATTGCTTCACTGGCCCAAGTTGGCATCATCATTGCGCTCTTCCCGGGTGAGGCAGATCAGTCACTGGCTTCTGGACGGCCACTCACTGCGGCTGCTGGCCGCTCACACTGGCTGCTGGGCTACACACGGTAGCCCATGGCAACCCACTGCAGTAGGGGCTGCAGCCTACGCCGTCACCGGCGACTCACGGGCAGCCCAGCTCCAGGTTGAGCTGTTGTTCAGCATCTTAGCTGTGGAGGGCAGTGTCACTGGCCCTCATATGTGGGATCCGAACCGGGGCCCTCTGGCGTCCCAAGCCAGCTCTTAACCATCGCGCCACTCGGCCGGCCCTAGATTGTTATTCTTAACATAGAAAGACCTTTATGAGCTATTAGCAAAATACTTTTTTCAATAAGAAAAATTTGCAAAGGATGTGAACATAGCGTTCATGGGGTAAAAAAAATAATGTGCAGTAACTTTATGTTCAGCCTCACTAGTCTAATAATCAAGGAAATGCAAATTGAAATCAAAATGCAGTACCTTTTTCGTTTTGGTCTATTATGTTGGCAAGATAATAAACGATTATTCTCATTGCTGCTGAGGGTGCAGTAAAGCAACCATTTTCACATAAACTGTTTAGAGTATAAATGGACATAGCGTTTCTGGAAAAAAACTTTGTGTTAAGTTATTAAAATGTCTACAACCTTTGACTTAGTAATTCCACTTATGAGAGTTTATCCTAAGGAAATAACATTAAAAAAAAGATTTATTTAGGAGAATGTACATTGATTTTAATGATGAAATAACGAAGTAATCTAACCATTCTCATATCGTAAGACATTTAAGGGTGGTACATACACACAAGAAAGTAATATGCAGGTATTAAATCATACTTTTGAAAAATCTTAATGAATGACCTGAAGGAAAATCCAGGAGAAAGGTGGTGAAAAAGCAAGATATAAAATTTTTATACTCACTAAGATCCTGTCTTAGCATAAATATACATAAATGTAGATGGAGAAAACTATATAAAGGACGAGATGGTAATATTATTTTTATTTCTTTTTAAAATGTGTACATGTTCTACAATTCGTTTGTAATGTTGGTAGACTTTTTAAACAATACATGTTGTGTAAGAAAATATCTGGAAATTAGCAAAGGCAGGTATCCTGTAACCCGGCCTTTTGTTTTTTAGGTATCGGAGCACTGACGTTTGCGCTTCTGATGTCAGCAAGGATGGGTATTTTCCAAGAGACTCTCTACAAACAATTTGGGAAACACTCCAAAGAGGCTTTGTTTTATAATGTAAGCCATGTCTTGAACCTGGGGAAGATAAACATGACTGAGTTACTGTTATTGTAATATGTTATTTCAAATGTGATGTAGTTGGAGGATCAATTTATGATCCAGGAAACTGCTTAGGTCCCCACAGATGGAAGTCCTCTTCATGGGCTGCTAGGGTGCATCTGAGCCACAGGTCCCCACACGAGATGATTATGGTCGTCAGTGTGCACAGCGCATGTCTGCTAACCAGAAACGACCACAGGGACAAGGGCCCGTCACCCCCAGGGTTCATGCAGATGAAATCAGGTTCCAACCAATATGGGAACCTGGACAAGGAAACTAAGTCACAGAGACAGCATGTCTCAGAGGAGTGAATACTGGGGGCGCCCACAAAACATATATATACGTGACTTGGATTCATCTTTTCTTATTGGTATATATTGAGTATTACAATTTTAATAGTGTTTTCCTTTCTTAAAATATGTCTACATGTTTGGGGCACCCTCTGTATATGCAGGCAGGCATTTGAGAGCTGGGGAGGACAGGGGAGAAGTCCCTCAGGCTTCGTTCATTTGACGGGGAGTTTCCATAGCTAATTATTTATGCCTCAGCTTTTTTGTTTTAAACTGCTCTCCGGCACCCCCTCTGCCCTCTTTCTTGTTGAGGTAGGTGACGCCCCAAGCACAGCCCGTCAAGGTCAGGGTGATGTAACCTCAGGGATTCCTTCTCTGCCACCTTTTTGTACTGAAGTTGCAGATAAGCAATCTGATATATTTAGTGGGAGCTAGAGTAGGTAGCCAGGAATTTAAAAAATAAACATTCCATTTCTTCCACGTCTTTCTTTTAGAACAGGACGTGGCACATAGTAACTGCTCAGTAAATGTGAGCTGTGATTCCTTATTAAATTATTGAGTGGTGGGTTGTTGTCAAGTGCAGTCACCTTTGCTTACCTGTTGTTTCCTCTTATTCTTCAACTTCTTTATTCTTGTCTTCATTTCCTTTTCCCTGTCCTCATATTGTCCTCCCATCTATTTTCCCTCTAGTTTTCCAAACTCCCTGAAATGTGCCTTCACATTCTTCATCATTTTTAAATCCATTATATTTGCTTAATGGTTGTTCTCAAAAAATGACTGTGTCTTTACATTTCTCATTCCCTTTTGTGGACAGAAGGATGCTGGCTCCATTTTTTTGTTTTGTGTGATGATCATCACACTCCATAAGGACAAGAACCCTAATTTGGGGGTTAGAAACACTGGATACATTTAACTTAATAAGTCTAACTGCTTTTCTTGGTATTGCATATCAAATAACTTATAAGACTTAGATTAACGAGAGCCGCTTTACAATGATGCAATGTGTGCGCATTTCAGTTTATGTGAAATATTTCTTCCCCTAGCATGCCCTTCCACTTCCTGGATTCATCTTCTTGGCTTCCGATATTTATGACCACGCAGTTCTATTCAATAAGTCTGGTGAGTTTCTGAGGCCAAGTTTCGGTTTTACTTTTGACTTGACCACTGCTGTCTACCCTTGGAACTCCCNACCCCCACCCCGGTCCCAGAAGCACAGCACCCTTAAGCAGTAGCTGCAGCTGCACAACCATTTACAGGTGCTCCTGAGTTATTTGCAAATGAAGTAAGAGAATATCTTTACATTTTCTGTTTGGCTTTGGAATTTGCATGCTTGCATTTGAATGTGGAAGGTTTAATGTTTTGAGAATGCGAACAAATAGTAACTTCAACTTCTGAATCATCCCTAAGTTAAAATACATTTTTTCCTGGTCTTGAGTTTTAGTGTCTCAGATGAACCCATTATCCTGAATTTTCTGAGAGCTGAATATACATGTAAACATTTTACATCATACTGATTGTCTCTTTCCTCAGCAAATGGATACAGTGGATCTCTGAAGTTGTTATACAGTAATAACATTTAACTTTCTTTTCATTTCAGTATTTGCTGTTTCATTAACTGTCCTTTCATTTCAATACTTGCTAAGTGTTTCAAAGAGAATACCAGATTATTGGGATTTCCCACTAATCCAGACATACAGTTCTAACACATTATCTCTCTTTATCCAGGTGGCTTTTTATTTTTTTGCAAAAGAAAATTAATGTTCAAGTTATGCAGTATATTTCAAACTCTGCAAACAATGTAGCAATATAAAAGACATGCCCTGAGGATTACTATGTCCTTATTCTCTTTAATCTTGGGTATTTTATTTTCTCCCAGATATTCACTGTGTAAACACCTCATTATGTAAAACTAACTTAAGAATGTATTTAAAGGAAGAAAAGTTAAAGTTCTATCGCCCTACACATCAACTAATTTACCAGTTTTCTTCCAGACACAATTTACATAAATCCTTACATAGTTGTAATCCTTGTGTAGATATAATTTTTTACTTCCTTTTTACCTTCATTCTGTTTATTTTGTGACTATTTGTAATCTTCATGATTTTTAAAAATCGAATGTATAATACCTCATCTAGTCAAAGTACCTTTGCTTACATAACCATTGCTCTATCATTGGACATTTAGATTGATTCAGAGTTTTTCCTTATTATACATTGTACTGCAGTGAATGAAGCACATTTTCGAATTATCTAGGACTAATTTCTAAGAATAAGTATTAATAGTTGTGTGGCCCCTTAATAAGAATTGTGAGACTGATTTTTTAAAAAACACCCATTTATACTGACACCAACTGAATGACTGCCAATTCCATTTTCACCTTGCTAGATTAGAATATTATTTATAAATTTTTAGTTGCTAATTTAATAGCTATAAAATGCTGCAGCCGTGTTTAATTTAGAATTGTTTGATTACTAGTAGGGTTGAACGTATTTCCTGATGACATTTAGTTATTGGTTGTCTCACCTCTTATGCTGATTGTCAGGTAAGACCATATCATTTTGAGCTTCTCTGTGCTTCACAGCCTTTCTCTGTAAAGTGGGGTCCTATTCAGGTGAATGGTGAAGAGTTTATTTTAAAATTAAAACAAATTGTCAGTTGTTTTAAGAAAACAACATATGCTTGAGGCTGATGCCACCTGGAGTCAAGGCAAGCAAAGTGGTGTGTGATGTGGGGTCCAAATGTACTTGCAAGGGGAATAACATTGCCGTCTGTGCTGTTCAGACTGTATTGCTTTGTTCAAGCAGATGAACACTTTAGCTGTCGGAAGTGACGCCACTGTCTCCTTCTTAATCTCTGCAGAATTATATCAAGTTCCGGTCGCTGGTGTGACAATGCCCATCATGTGGTTCTACCTCCTCATGAATGTCATCACTCAGTATCCTTTGCCGGATGGTCTTCTGGGGCCTATTTTGCCATAGGAATGTTTATGCTTTCCTTCTAACAGTGCAGTGACATGAGTTCCATTTTTGCCTTGGTGTGTTGTGCAGTAAACGGGAGACAGAAGCCCATCTGGTGAGCTGCTTTGTGGAGCGCCGAAGGTGCTGTAGGTCAGTAAGTCCCCCGGGCGCTGTGACAGAAGTGCTCTGGATGGAGGTGGATAGTTAAGAATTAGCACATGGCATGCATGTTCTGAAATATCTACCTGGAGTTTTCTGGTGCCCTAGGATATTTCACAAGCTGCCAGGAAATTCTGAAAGAATTTACAGGGTTCTTTTATGAAGGTGGTGGAAGGACTGGGGACCAGATCCAGTAAAGGTGGGTGTGATCACCTTTACTTAGAGTGTCACCTTCTGTCATTACTTGGGAGGTGACCTTCACTGTAAACCATGGGAAGATCTAGAATAAGTATAATGGGAGGTTTCAGGCAGTTTCCAGTTGGGATCCACAAACGGTATGGTAGAACTGGATTTCTACAAGCTATTCTAAGAAGGAGCGTCACAGCGGCCGTAGCCAGTGCCATGTTTTCTAGTTCTTAGAATACGAGCATTTAAGCCAAGAGCCATGCCAGAAGGTTCTCCCTGGCTGATCGCTCAGTCTACAGAAAACCACCTTAACTCCATCCCTCCAGGTACGTGTGCATCCGGGGTGTCTTCATCCTCACGACGGAATGCACCTCCCTCACTGTCACACTCGTCGTGACTCTACGCAAGTTTGTGAGCCTCATCTTCTCCATCCTGTACTTCCAGAACCCTTTCACTCTCTGGCACTGGTTCGGCACCTTGTTTGTCTTCCTCGGGACCCTTATGTACACAGAGGTGTGGAACAACCTCGGAATCACAAAGAGCCAGCCTCAGAAGGGCAAGAAGAACTGAGGTCTGCCTGGGAGACCCGTGTCGTAAGGTGCCAGGGCCCGGCGAGGGTCTGGCTGCGATTTCACTTTGGTTAATGCTGAATTCCCCCCCCCCCGCCAGTGTTGAACCACCCGCGTACCAGAGAATCCTCAGAAGGCGGGGGCATCTCAGATTTCACATGGGGACACAGACCAACATTTTGTGGACTGTGCTTAGAAACTCCTCAACCCTGAATTAGATGGGTTATTTCTGTTTTGTTTACCACAATATTCAGTACTGTACTTTGTTATTGAATTCCGAGTCCCCAGAGCTACTGGTTTTATATTCACGGTCTTGGACAAGATTATCCCTTTTGTTGCTGTTCTGATGATTCTCTGCCATAACAGTCATTATCACCCTTCTACTTTTCAGCAGCACTTTTCAGCCAGCCAGATGCCCCAGGCAGCCTCATCAGGAATAACTGAGTGACCAAGTGAATTGAAACACTGGTGACCTTGGGGCTGGATTTCTCCAGCATGTTGAGAAAGAGGCAGTTGTCCCTGTGAGCTGAGCCCTGGTGCCACTGGAGCAGGACTGGTGGGAACCCTTTTCTATATTTTGCTTTTTTTGTTCTCTATGCACAAGTTATATGCTTCCACATCTGTTGCTTTCTGTGCTTAGAACAAACCTGCAGCGTATCTTTATGGCACAGTGTTAATCAAAAAGAGAGGTTGTGTATGAATTGGGAAAGAAAAACATTTTCCCTTGGTCTTCTATACGAAGCCGCAGAGCCTGGAGCTGAGGTGATGATGGCAGGAGGCCGTGGTTGGCACCCAGAGAGCTATAGCTCCCCCAACCCCAGGTGCTCACAGAGCTGCTTCCAAGAGGGTAGGTTAAGTCTTTGAAAAACTTCTTAACCAAGGAGGTTCAGCTCTGCCTGGCAATTCTGAGAGAGTCACAAACAGGCTAAGGAGACTAACATACAGTGGGTGTGGTGTATAAATTAGGTCACATCCTAATTAAAATGGAAAGTTTCTTTCCCTAGAAGGTATCTTAATGGGTACTTGCAGGAGTGGGGGTTGTATGTGTTTTATTACAGGTAGAAACGTGCTCCCCCACTTATTCTAATCGTTTCAAATGTTTGGTTTTCCTCCCATGACATAATTTTGGGACAGAAATGCTACCAGCGTGGTGTGTGTAGGTGAGTGTGTGCCCTTTGTAGTTCGTGTGTGATCATTTTGGAGGAGAAAAAAGCATGAAAGTCAGGTTTCTTTTATTTCCTCATAATGATAAAGGGGTCAATACAAGAAGGCGATATAACAATTGTAAATATCTATACACCCAACATGGGAGCACCCAAGTATATAAACCAAATATTAATGGACATAAAGGCAGAAATTAATAGTAATACAATAATAGCTGGGGACTTTAATACCCCACTTACCTCAGTGAATAGAGCATCTAGACAAAAAAATCAATAAAGAAATAATGGCTTTAAACGCCACATTAGCCCAGATTAACTTAATAGACATTTTTAGAATATTTTATCCAAAAACAGAAAATTACATTTTTCTCAAGTGCACATGGAACATTTTCCAGGACAGCCCACATATTTAGCCACAAATCAAGCCTTAATAAATTCAAGAAGATTGAAATAATACCAAGCATATTTTCTGACTACAGTTGCATGAAATTAGAAATCAACTACAGAAAGCAAAATGGAAGAAACAACATGGAGAATAAACAACATACTACTAAACAACCAATGGATCAAAGAGGAAATCAAAACTACTTTGAGACAAATGAAAATGGAAACACAACTTTTCAAAACTTATGAGATACAGCAAAAGCAGTTATTAGAGGAAAGTTCATAGCTGTACAGACCTACCTCAAGAAGTAGGAAAAAAATCTAACTTTACATCTAAAGGAACTAGAAAAAAGAAAAAAAGCAAAACCCAAAGTAAGTAGAAGGAAGGAAATAATAAAGATCAGAGTGGAAATAAATGAAATACAGAGTAAAAAAATCAATAGAAAAGATCAATGAAACTAAGAGCTGGATCTTTGAAAGGATAAATAAAATTGACAAACCTCTCCAAGACTCATCCAGAAATAAAGCCCAAATAAAATCAGAAATGAAAGAAGAGAGATTATAGTTGATACCACGGAAATACAAAGGATTATTAACAATTATATGCCAATAAATTCAACAATCTAGACAGCGGTTCTCAACCTTCCTAATGCTGTGACCCCTTAATACAGTTCCTCATGTTGTGGTGACCCCCAACCATAAAATTATTTTCGTTGGTACTCTATAACTGTAATTTTGCTACTGTTATGAATCGTAATGTATCTTTTTGTTTTCCGATGGTCTTAGGCGACCCCTGTGAAAGGGTTGTTCGACCCCCAAAGGGGTTGCGACCCACTGGTTGAGAACCGCTGATCTAGGACAAATGGACAAGTTTTCTAGAAGTATATAACCTTCTAAGACTGAACCAAGAAGAAATGCAAACTCTAAACAGGCTGTTTATTAGCAATGACACTGAAGCAGTCATAAAAAAACTGCCAACAAATAAACGTCCAGGACCAGATGGTTTCACATATGAATTCTACCAAACATTCAAAGAAGAATGAATTCCTATCTTTCTTAAACTATTTCAAAAAAGTGAAGAAAGAGGAATGCTTCTACACTCATTGTATTAAGCGAGCCAAAAGCAGGCAAAGACACGACAGGCCAATGTCCTTGATGAACAAAGATGCAAAAATTCTCAGCAAAATATTAGCAAACAGAATCCAACAATACATTAAAAGGATTATATATCATGATCAAGTGGGATTTATACCAGGGATGCAAGGGTGGCTCAACACCCACAAAACAGTTAGTGTGCTTCACCACATCAACAAAACCAAGGATAAAAATCATGTGATCATCTTGATTGATGCAGAAAAAGCATGTGACAAAATTCAACATCCATTTATGATAAAAACTCAACAAAGTGGGCTTAGAAAGAACTTACCTCAACACCATCAAGGCTATATATGTGAAGCCCACAGCTAACATCATCATCAATGGTGAAAAGCTGAAAGTGTTCCCTCTGAGATCAGGAACAAGATAACAATGTACACTCTTACCACTGTTACTCAAGATGGAGGCGGTGTAGTGGCATGGTGGATCATTTCCATCCTTCATGCAACCATTGCTTGAGATTTTGTAGGGGGTTTAAACATTTGATTATACAGAATACCAATAGTTTGACAAAGAAATATATTGAACAAATTAGCATAGCAGTGAATAAAAGTTTGCAACCCAGACTTCAAAATAGCTCTGAGCCCAGTTGGGAGCCAGGTGAAAATAGAGAATTCAAATCCTAACCAGCCAGTGGTACTTCAGGCAAAACTGGAATGCCCCTTAAGAGAGTTGGCAAGTTGAAGGAGTTTGGTTGTTTCTAATTCTACCTGAGAAGACGTATTTATCCAGGTACAGCAGGAGGTATTGGCTATGGCACAAATTTCTCCCTGGGCTACAAGCAAATAATCAAGCAATACTGGTGTGGAAGGCTACTCGAGCTGGGGAATCTAAATATGTTTGTTGGGCTCCAATGAGTGGGCTGTTCTATTATGTCTGGTTAGATTTCACATCATTATGTCTGAGCGGTGTGAAGCCCAGCTAGTGTTGAAATTTAAAAGGTACCACTTAGGGCCGGCCAAGTGGCTCGATGGTTAAGAGTTGGCTTACGAGCGCAAGCTCAGCAGGGCCCTGGTTCGGATCCCACATGAGGGCCAGTGACGCTGTGCCCTCTACAGCTAAGATGGTGAACAACAGCTCACCTGGGGCTGGGCTGCTGTGAGTAGCCAGCAACCGCTGCAGGTGGGCTGCCGTGAACCGCCGTGAGTGGTCGTCCAATGGCCGGTGACCAGTCTGCCTCAGCCGGGAAGAGCACAATGATCACAATACCAACATGGGCCAGTGAAGCGACGTCCTCCACAACTAGACTGGAGAACAAAAGGACAGCAACTTGTCTGTTTCCCTTCCCCGATTCCCCAATGCTGTTACCCTCCCCCAATTCCCCAATAAAATCTTAAAAAGAAAAAAAAGGTACCATTTACATCCACAGAAGTATTATACCAGAATCACACACTCAGGTTTACAGAGAGGCATAATAATTTACCATGCACCTAGCTGTTTGTGGAATTTGTAATGGTTAATAGGACAAAATCTTTATGAACATTTACTAATAAATAGCAGATTACACCAATTGAGCAAGCAGCTCAAATTTATAAGGGTAAAAACCCAACGTCCCTGAGTTTCCAAGCATACTTGTACATCTCAGTGTTAATTTGTTTTCACTTAAATGTTACCCCATTGGGAAAAAGATTTTAAATATTCCTTCCCTTCCAATACATCATTATACTTTCAGAGAGAGAAAGGGAACAGTTCAATTCCTCCCCCCCCCCTTTTTTTTTCCTCTCCTCCCAATCTCATCAATCTGATATAATGTCGTTATGGTGCTTAGGCCCTAAAGAATCCAATGATTTCAATTATTTTCTGGGTTCTAGAATATTGCTGGCATTATACAATAAACCTGTCTTCCAGAAAGCCATGTCTCTGGTTGAAACATTTCCTGGATCAGTGATTGAGGAGTTAAGACCAGCTGCCAGTAAAGTAAGACTGTTCCCTAATGGTCAGATAACAGTTTGATCTTTTCCTGTCAAAATAAAAGTTCTTAGCAAATAGGAGCGGCCTCATTCTTTTCCTGTATCCTCTATAGCAGCTACTAAAGTGTGGTGGGCATGCGTACCATTTGGTGGACGATACCTGGAAGAGGGTTTTTCCTTCTGCCTCACCAATCCATCACATGGCATATTTTAACTCCAGCAACACAATTTACAGAATCATGAACTTTTAAAAATTATGTTAAATGTTATCCATACTAATACATATTTAGGCTTATTCTCTGTGACATCACTTAAAATACATTTCAGTTTTTAAACACTGCCATGAATGGAGGTAAGGAACTCATAAAGTCTTCAAAATACTGAACTCTTCCATATAATCAACCCCAAAAGTGAAGTAAGGAAAGCTCGCAGACTGACTACTGCCAAGATACTGCTCCTCTTTAAAGGAAATTTTCTTGTATTTGCAAGTACACCTTATCAGTTTACGGTATTGGAAAAAGCACAACACTCATTCTAAGATATTCCTAAAGCTTGTAAACAACAGTGTTTCTTAGCCATCAATTTTTGCCTTACCGTGTTGCTCTAAATCACCTCAGTTGAGATGTAGGTCCTTTCCACTTGAAAAACTGATCAACATCCATATGGAGGTTAAAAGTCCTAGCAAGATAAAAGGAATGATTCACATCGAAAACCACGTACCTTTTAGCACTTCCTTCGCCTGGGATTTGCCAGTTTGGCTTCATTGACTGGTCAGAGACAAGGGCAGATGCATATAGCTCCACAATAGCTCCCTGTACAAGGAAAATGTGCAAGGCTATAGTTTTTCCTTCGTCACTAATTATTTCCCCATTAGGGGGTGTGTGAAATTTCTGGAACGTCAACTTCGAGGGTAGAGAGGCAGAGTTGGCTGAGGAGTGCCGTTTCCTGCCACAGTGTCTTCACAGAGGGGAGTTCATAAAATCAACAGTTATAGACAGTCAAGACATTACTAAGAGGACTAACTCTGGGATCATCAGTTTTACAAAGGTAGAAGCAGACATCAGGTGGCAAATGTAGCACTCCCACAGGTTCCCTGAAGAGGCTGACATTTGAGAGTATTGTACCATAATATTTCTATTCCAAGGTTTCCCGTTTACAAGGGTTAAAACAGCAAAAATGAGGAAGTATTGTACAGTCAAGGATTAATGATATGGAGTTAGAACATAGCATCTAAAACACGTAAGGTGACCAGCTTGTCACAGAAATGAAGATCCCTAAAATACCCAGGAATATATAATCATGATAATGAAGTAAGCATAAGTGTTATGCAGAGCAGAATTTGACTTCACTGGCCTGGTCGAGGATCTTGGGAAAGGTCATCTGCTTCAAGGGTCATCTGCTTTCTGTCCGAGCTGCTGTCTGCTCTGGATCACTTTAATTTGAGGCCCCCTATAGGCTGGCATGTTCAATCAGGCGAATGAGGTGGAAGTGTGAGAGCCTTTTTAAATAAAACATGAATTCATGAGTTAACACGTACTCAATTTGCAGCCCCAGTTACAATCCCTGGTATGGTCCCTTCCAGCAGGACTGGAGAGCCCTTGTGGAGATGTCTTCTCAGCAGACCGTATCTCTAGGTTGCAGGCCATGATGCTTGATGTCTTCATCTCCTGGGAGTGCTGTGAAAGGATTGCTCTACTCACTTTGAATTAATTTTAAGAGCTTTTATAAGTTCTTTGCAATAAGTCAGAAGGTCTCCTTAAGGCAGGTTCATACATTCCCTGATCTAGCCTCATAGGTCTTCTGAAAATGATTTTAAAAGGGGACAATATATGTTTACCAAAGGGAATAGACCTTAAGCAGTACCAAGGGAAGGGCTGTAGGCCGAGGCAGATTAAAAGATTCAACCAGTTTCACCAGTTGAATTTTGACTACCTCATCAGTTCTGGAAAACCAGAGGACTGGGCATGAGAAGCACAATGGAAATGCTGACATACTGGCCAGATCTTGCACGCCTGGTGTGGAATTTGTTTGATAAAGTGGGTTCTCAGATTGTTATCGTGCTCTGTGGTGGTTTTCCAAGCAGGAAAAAAATCCCTTCTGGAAGTATTTTAGTAGCTGCTGCAGCTGTAGCCCTTTGACATGGGAATGCTTTTACCC